ATACTCAAGGGAATGGTCATGTGGTCTGAAATGGGACAACATTGAGCCAAGTTGAATGAGTCTATTGCTTATACAATACTCAAGGGAATGGTCATAGTGCCTGAAATAGAAAGCCACTGCTTCCAAATGAATAAAGTCTATACTTATCTCTGGCACGTATATTTTTTAGTGTTACAGTGTCTGCAAAAGAAAGTGACGGAAGCGTTCATGCAGCTATACAATCCCTTGTACGTCACATGCTCCAACAACGCAGACAACAAAAGAAAGGAATCTTTTCTGGAGACAAAACTATTGAGGAAAAGAAGTTTGTTACATTGAGTCCATTTGAAGAGGAAAAGAAAGAGTTTGTTCCCCTCCTCGTGGTCAAGATCTCTGAGGTAAGAGCATTGTGCAGTGAGACCTTTTTACCGATACGGTGGCCATCTTGAAGTCTATTGTTTTATTTAAGACATTATTGGATGCGGTGGGGGCAACTAATGGAAAATGTATAGACTGCACAGCTGTAAGAACGTCTTTTTATATAACTTTACGCTCTTCAATGAGAAGCACATCTAAAAACCAATTGAATTTGCTGGTAGTTGGAACGATATGTGAAACGCCAAGGCTTCAAATTTTTTGAAAACATAACCCCACCACTCTTTTCTAAATTTCTACGTGTCTAAAGGTCATTTTGTCTTGCAGTTCGATGTGTTCTTCAAAGACTGCAATGAATCCATAGAGAGAGTAGAGAACACAAGCATGGCACTGATAGAAGCCATGGCTAATTTCAAACGAGCTTGTTCAGTAGCTGGAGTGACAAACAGCACTAAAGCATCACTAGAGGAGTGTATTGGGGGATTAAAGGAGCTTATTAGAACAGACGATGATGAGGATGGACTCGAGGTAAGACTGAAAGAGTATCTGATGGTTGTGATGATTAACTGATGATGATGGTGATGGTGTTGGTGGTAATGATGTTATTGAGGCTGAAGATGGTGATGATGATGGTGATGTTGATGATGGTGCATGGTGAAGATACTAATGATGGTGGTGATGGTGATAATGATGATGGTGTTGATGGTAATGGTAATGATGGTGATGAAGTTGATGATGGTGCATGGTGGAGATATTCATGGTAATGGTTATGATGTAGTATTGACATAGAAGATGGCAATCAACGATGTTTATGGTGGTGATGGTGGTGTTGATGATGCCTACAGTGGAGAAGTTGATGATGAAGGTGGCCCACGGTGACGATAATTGATGATGAAAGTGATGATGATAATGACTGATGACAATGGTAGTGGTGACAAAGACTGACAATGATGGTGGAGATGATGGTACTGATGGTAGTGATGAAGGTGCTGATGACTAAAGATAGATGGTGGTGGGGATTGATGATGATGATCGTATTGATGATGAAGATTGTCATGTTCATGATGGTGGTGATAATAACGATAGTACTAGTGATATTGATGAATGATGATGATGATGATGATAATGATGGTGAAATAGTAGTACCATTTACTAAGATTCTTACAAAAACAGGTCCACGATGATGGATGTTACCTCAAGCTTATCATCAAAGAGGACGAGGTAAAGAACGTTTCAGGACCCGTAGAAAGAGTTCTTAGGACGTTCCACAATGAGGTATTCACTGATTATTTTCATTACTCACATTTTCATTACTGCAGGGACCACAGGTAGCCCAAGCTTGGTTTCTATGGTGTCGTGTTATAAGGAAATGTATGGGGATTCTTCAAAAATTTCAATAGAATTATTGAAACGTGAAATAAAGCCTCGAAAYTTTACCCGATCGTTGAGTAATAACACTTCTTTCGCTCTGTGTGGTTATTTTTTGAATTTTTTGATGAATCCCCATACATTTCCTTATAAAATGACACCACAGAAACCAAGCTTGGGCTACTACACCTGTGCAGGGACACTCAAACAAGATCGCTCCGCCTGAACGAGGTTATAGATAAAAAATATTAATTTGAAATTATCTTTCTCTTTAGCTCTGTACAGCGTCCAAGAAAGTTTTGATTCAAGGTCCTGGTTTACACAACAAACTAAAGGAAATAGAAGAAAAGATCAGTACACTTAGAGTGTCTGCCTTTGACCGAGCAATGGATGCGGGTTTGTCCCAACGAAGGGCTAAAGCCGCCCTAGCAAACATCGATGCGAACTGTAACAGAATACGGGAAGCTGTTGCAATGGCAATGGAATCGATGAGTGCTGTGGAGAGTGATTACAAGAAGATAAAAGCAGCCATGTTATGGTAGCATAACCACATCTTGAAGTGGATGTGTGTTATGCCGCTCTCGAGTCTTTATTAAGAATGACAGTATGCTTGCGGCTGACGTAGATGGACTGGCTGGGTGACAGCAATAAAGGTGCACCCCCACCCCCTCCCCTCTCAATTCCTTCTCCAAGTCAACCGACAAAAACAGGAGGCCTTTTGAGTGTAAGGAACATCAATTTATTTTCACTCCAAACACCTTGAAGCCATTTCAGTGTTATGAACGTCATTCCAGTCAATAGACCCGAAAGCAACAAAACATTTCAACGTTGGTAACGTCATTTTTCTATAGACACCAAACACCTGAAAGCCATTTGATTGTCAGGAACGTCATTTCAGTCTAGACACACGAAAACAAAAGGAAGCAATTTCAATTTTACTAAGATACCAAACGCCTGAGAACCATTAAAATGCCAGGAACAACATTTCAGTCTATAGACCTGGAAGCCATTTGAGTGTGATTGGCGTCATTCCATACTCATGGCTCGTTGCTATTTTGGGAAACTGCATGGAACTTTTTTTCCCTCGACTTTGCGTGGGTTTAAAGATAGCAGTTTTCCTGGTCTGTGATTGGCTTACGATTGGAAGCCATTGGAACGTCGTCACGTGACACCCTTTTCCTTCTCTTGCATTCCGCTCATTCTTAAACTGAAACTGAAACATAATTTATAAAAACATGTAATTTATTTGCGAGTAAAATGTTTGGAATGTGAATATTGTACAAAAGCCATGAGTTTTGTAAAAAAAAATTATTTTCGTAAAAATGGGGGAAAATAAATATTGTTCCTAATTAGACTAGACGCAAAGCCATGTCTTCCAGGACTTAAAGAATTCCACATCAAATAAATCTTTAATTCATCAAAACTTACGTTTTTTGGAAAGAAAAAAGAAACGTGAAATAGTACAGAAAACCAAACTAGTTCAATACTCGTTTGCTCTTCCCATCTCAGCATTAGTTTCTCTTTTTTTTGGCTCTTCTTTTCTCTTATCTCGCCCACTACTCCCATTGTTTCCTATCTTTCTTTTACTTTCGTTTAACGTGTTCAATTCTCTATTCCTCTTTCTTTTCTCCTTAAAAATTCTAAGACATTTTAAAGATATTTCTTACATCAAAGAAAAAGACTGAAATTCTAAAAAGAATTCGTCGATTAGAAAAAGTTACAAATAATTTTTTGTAAATTCCGAACAGATGTCCGAGTAATCAAGATTTACATAAAATATAAAGCAAACGGCTAGTTTTTCAAAACGTTTTGCTTCCCAGAGTGTATCATACACCGGCTCGACATAAAACCTTTTGTGAAAATTCCTTTATAAATTATGTAGTTTTTGAATTCAAGTTTATAGCCAGCTTTTGTTTTTTTGTTTCAAAATACTAAGCTAACGTTGCAGGCTGCTGCGCGAGTTGTCCAATCCGTCAACGTTATCAACATTGTTTTCCATCTTCGAAGTAAACTTTAAATTCTTATCTCGTTTCTTTGTACGGTACATATTTTAATTACCTTCCAATTCTTCATTACGTTCTATATGGTTGTTGAATTTTGATTGGCCGAGGAAATTCTCAATGGTAATTGAGTTCCGARTACAGCTTAAAAACAATAGGGCTTCCTGAATGTTTTTTCAATACACTGTTGCAGATGGCCGGTAGCGAGGACTTTCTCAACACAGAAAAAAACATTGGCTCGAAGGGAAAGCAACGGCTTCGGACAGATATTTACGGGCAAAGACTCGAAGAAATTGTTTTCTTAGCGTTTTGCTTCCTTCAAACTATAAAAAGACTGGTTTTTTTAAAAGCCAAAAACCGGGGTTATCAGCGATTGAAGATGACAGGTAAGGCCACGCTAAAGAACCTCTACTTTCTAAATGTTATTCTTATTATAAGCCAATCTTGTGTAGTATATGCGAGTTATATCGCGATTTTTGGACTAAAAAAAGGAATTTTTCTCCTAATCAATATTGTGTGGTTAAGCCTTCTGAGTTCATTATAAAATGTAAAACCTATGTTTTCTTTAACTTCTCATGAATTCAGATTCCTTCGGATAAACTCGAGTAATTCGCAAAGAAATATTAGTTCGATCATTTATTTTCGTTCTGTTTTGTTCGAGGCGAAAGAACGATTTAATCGAATTCAGAATAATTTTATAACTGAAAATAAGACCTCTTCTGAAATCAGGTTTATTTTATTTCCTACTAAATTTTTATGAAAGAAATATTTGTCGTTACGTACATTATAAACAACAGCATTTTATACCGCAAATATTTCATTCTATTGTCTATATCTTCTGAATTGATTTTTAGACGAGAATCATTTGAACGCGGACGACAGTGAGGATTCTAAATTTTTCGGATTCGTAAAATGGTTCAATATTGCCAAAGGATTTGGTTTTATAACGAGGAATGATGGAGGCGAAGACTTCTTTGTTCATCAGGTAAGCAATAACTTAAATAAATACTTTAAATTACACAAGAAAAATAGTATATTTTTTTATCCGCTCTTTCACAAGAAAAACAGTATTTTCAAGTCGCTTTTTCAGTATTTTTTTGTTTGAGCCGACCCTCGGTACTTCAAACTCATTTGAATTGGATTACTGAGTATTTTTAATTTTATTTTCTCGAGACCTAAAAACAAGATGATTACCTAGCAAAAACAAATGCGTTTAAAAATTACTCCGGATTTCTAAATACTTTCCTTCATTTTTGCGGCCTCGTTTGCTCAAGGTTCATCTTACGGTAAACCCCAACTCTTGTGATCTTAAACGTGTTTTTTCGCCTACTAATTATTTCATAACGATATACATTAAAGTCCACCTTAAACAAATCCTAAAACCCATATGAAACACTTTATAATGAGGTAAATTTAATATCTAAAACACGTCTATTTTTAGTGAGCCGTACGCGTTTTCTATATTAATTTAATGTTGTTGTTTGTTTTTTTTTGTTGTTTATTTTTTGTTGTTTATTTTTTGTTGTTGTTTTTTTGTTGTTGTTGTTTTTTTGTTTGTTTGTTTTTGTTTTTTTTTGGTTTATTCCTTTTTTTTTTCTTTCTCTCTTTTTGACTTTTGAGCATGTGCCAGCTGCCGTTTGACAATACGCTGTAGCGTATACAGTAATCGAGATTATATTGAGAGAACAAAAAAACGTTATACTTTTAAAACTGAAATATCTTTCAATGTACGGGGAAAAAGTTTGCCTTGTCTATACTGATTGTGTTTTCATTTTAAGTTTCCATCTAATTTTTGTGAAAGTTTGCTCTGCTTTTCATGCAAATTCTGTCAGAAAAAAAAAAGACATTTGTGAGTTCAATTGGCTTTCAAAACTCGCAGGAGACAAATTGGATTGGACTACCATACTATAACAAAAACTGACGTAAAAAGTAAAATGCGTGGCTCAAGAATTTTTACGAATTTAAATATGGGATTTTGAATGTAAGCCGAAAATTTATTACGCGTACTTTTTTCCAATTAAACTCTCGGAACTTTGATGAGTGAATGTGAAGCCATATATTGCTTAATCATTTGGGAAGCCAATTCAATGTCGCGCCCACTCATAAGAAAGATTCTCAAATATGTTCTTTATAAATTACACCAAATTTTATTTTATCATCTTCCACCAACACTCTAAAGGTTTCTAACTTACGCATTTCCACTCAGGGTGACAGTAAATGCATGCTCGACAGTGTGACGTTTGATTATCTTTACCGGCTGACACTGTATAGGTTTACTAGAATTTTCGCAGACGCCAGAGTGCGCAGACGCTAAATTCTTGGGGTGCATGCTACGTCATAGCTAGCCGCTATGTAGCTGTTTCATCGTTATTTGTATCTCGAGGAATTTTGTGAGTTACGTGATTGCACTTCAAGGATATATTTTCCAATAATTCATAATACAGCTTGGGCTGCCTGTGGTTAGATTGCAAAATGAGATCCCTTCGTGCTCTTTGGGAGTTGAATTTTCTCTTATGTAAAAAGATTGTATTGTTTCTGTCATCTAAACCTGTCATCTAAACCTTTATAGACCAATTTTTGATGTTTTTCTTTAAACATGGAAAACAACTTCGCTTGACCCAGCAAAAGTTTTCCATTTATTTCTCATTAACTCAATCCCATTGTTTATCTTTCTTTTCAGAGCGCAATTAAATCTAATGGCTACCGCACCTTAGTGGAGGGAGAACAAGTCTCATTCAAGATCACAGACAGTGATAAAGGACGAATAGCAGTTTGTGTGACCTCTACAGATGGAGGCAAAATTAAAAGCGCGACGCGCAAAACCCGTACAAAACAAGGTGCTAGAAAATACACCTCTTTATGCTTCAACTGTAACAAAGGCGGGCACAAAGCCAAGAAATGCCCGTACGAGAGGACCACAAATAGACTTTGCCATAAATGCGGATCTAACATGCATATTATTCGTAAATGTCCACTGGTCTTGGCTCACGCGATGGAACATTCGGAAAACAGAGCCGAGGAGCAGCAGCACCAAAAGGAATGCGGAAAAATGGATTCGGGCAAAGAACATTCTTTAGAAAAAATTGAAATCGGGAAAATTATGGACAATCATAATGCCGCTACGGTAGCGTGATAATGGGAGCTGTCACGTGGAAAAATTACGTCATCATTCACGTGACAAAGGGGAGATATACGATGCGGCATCAGTCACGTGACAATTATAAGCAATGGAGGTGGCATGTGTCATGTCACCGATCACGTGACAATTATAAGCAATGAAGGTGGCATGTGTCATGTCACCGATCACGTGACAATTATAAGCAATGGAAGTGGCATGTGTCATGTCACCAATCACGTGACTATTATAAGCAATGGAGGTGGCATGTGTCATGTCACCNGTGGCATGTGTCATGTCACCAATCACGTGACTATTATAAGCAATGGAGGTGGCATGTGTCATGTCACCGATCACGTGACAATTATAAGCAATGGAGGTGGCATGTGTCATGTCACCAATCGCGTGACAATTGGGTCTATAAGGCATATACCAGTTAAAACTTGATTGTCTATACTGAGTAACAGACTGCTACACAGGTTCGAAAAGTTAGATTGGCAGGAAAGTGACAATGAACGTGTCAGAAACACAGAGGGGGAAGAGGTTTGGGGAAGGGAAAAAACATTTTCCCAAGAAGCGGGGGAGGGGTATCGAGTAGTACCATGTGATATCATATATTTTGACTGTTGAAAAAAAGTCAGTATTGATTGTCTTCTGTTAATAAGATATTATTAAAATATTGAAAGATTATCATATAGAGTGATAACAGTAAATCCGTGAAACTTTAGCAATACTAAAGAGCACAAATTTCATGCAAATTCCATTGTTTTCTATTGTTTAACTAGCACTATTTTGTACTATTTAGTACTCAGTAATTAGTGTTTCACGGAATTACTGTGGTCACTCTATTGAAAATGTTTAACATTGTTTGGTGCTTGGTGGGGCTTGGATAGGGATTGATAGTGTGTTTAGATTATTGCTCTGTCAACCAGATAAATGGATGAAGGATTGCCAAAAAAATCTCAAATAATAGATTGACCAAAGAATCTGACTGTAAATTTACAAATACCTAATAAAATAAGCAAATAAACCGGGCAATAAATGGCCAGTCTTTGTCTTTCCTATCTTAACCTCCATACATAGAATGTGATGCATGGGGTGGCTAAACTAACTAATTCTTTGAGTTAGCCACCCTCTGTATAAGAAAGTAATGATAGGTGGTTAAGCATCTGCCCACTAGAATATATGGAAGGCCATGGGTTCAATTCCAATCAGGGTTTCAGATTTTTGTCCAAGTACCCTCAATTTTGCTAGAAAAATGCTGGAAATTTCATCTTGTAATAGTTTTAATACCACTGAACATTATTCTGTATCCTACCAACACCCTTCATTTCCCTATACTAAGGGATGGACTTAGATAATTGAGGAGGGGGATGCATAAATTCCAAAAAAAGTACTTTACCTACCTAAAAAATATCTCGCAACCTCTCCTTTCAGTAAAGAAATATACAGTAAACACAAAAAAATTGTGAGTCGGGGTTTTTACCAAAAAAAAAAAAAATTGTGCAACATATATTTCTGTAACCTCCCCCTCAATTATCTGGGCCTGATTGAACGAAGCCTGGATAGCGCTATCCGACAGATAAATCTTATCCAGGGGATAAATTTATTGAAACACAGCATCGACTTATCCACTGGATAAGGATTTATCTACTGGATAGCACTATCCAGGCTTTTCATGGTCTATCCCTAATAGAACTCCTGTAATATAGCCAATCAGAATGCTGGATTTAGTTTGTTTACATTATAAACTACTCTGATAAACAATTAATCAACCACTGAAGTTTTAAAATTTTTTAATGGAAGTTTAATTTACCTCGAAGAAAACACATACGGTAATAACGTCAGGGTTTCAATCAAGCTTCAAACTTGATATAGGAAGTAAAAAAAATTCGTTGTTCAAAAATATTTACAATGTAAAAGAGACCGAGAGCAATAAAGTACAGCAATTTTACCGAATGTAATACATAATTTTTCTAAATTAATTTCTTAAAATAAATCCACACTTTCTAAAAAAATCAAGGACATTTTAATCTCAAATTTAGCGATTTTAATTTAGCATACATGATTCATATGTGGGGACCATGTATTTTATGTTAATGAACGCATCTGCACCACCACGTCGTTCGAATCCTTCCAGCGTTTCTTGGATCAGATCTCCAACATTTTCTCTTCTTTGTTGACTGTAGTCAATCCCATCGCCTGAATTGAGATTCTTATTCTTAAAGAGATTAAGAATCGGTAAGATTTGACGATAGTATGGGACGAGAGCTTCGCCGACGAGATCTGCTGCTACCACAAGATGCTGGAGTGCCTTCAGCGAGGTGCATATAACTTTAGCGTTTCGAGTATTCAACGCTTTCTTGATCGGAATGATAAGCTGTGGAATTACAGGCAAGATTTTTTTGCCTCCGTGTTCAAGCATGTCGTGGACTCCTTGTCTTGCGAAAAATTCGTAAGGGTGTGAAGTTTCGGAGAGCCCCTCGAAGAACAAGGGAAGGTAATGGTGGTAGTCGAGTTTCTCAATCTCTACCTTCCAAGCAATTTTATTCCCTTTAGTGTCGTGTTCTAGAGCGATCGGGAAGTCGCCTCTCTCGTAACATTTCCTGAAGTTTGTTGGCTCTGCTGGTCTTTCCTTGAAAGCTCTGGCTGATGGAGGTTGTACAACCTGGAAGATTAGGACAACGATGTTACTTAAACGAACCAAACAACATGGCCGATTGTACTTTTGATCTTATCTTATTTACCTTCGAGTTTTTAAGCCTGGATTTTGTGGTGAATCCATCTGCTGTTAAAGCACGAGTCTTTTCCTCCCTGACCGTCGAATGTGACTTTTCCTGTGGATATTGAAAGTAGGACTTTACAACACGAAACAAAATTATTATCTGAGCAATTGGTCACCATGTAGGTTCATACAAGCGTCATGTCGTCAAATTTCTTAACGTTTTTCTCAACTTACATGCGAACTTTTGGTTTTTATCCCCTCAGTTGTCGGCCCAAATACATGCTCCGTTCTCGTCCTCATAGCATGTGTCGTAGCCATAGTGTAGAATTATTAAACCAGCTCAAAAAAGACGTGTAAAAAGACTGCTTTTCCTTCTTCAAATGCTGTTCTGTTGATCTGGTTGATGTGACGACTAAACAAATCTTTTCCCTTCAGAGTTACCATAGCAACAGTGTGTTTTCCGGACGCCATTCCATATGTGGTAAATTAGTTACCAGTCTCTTTCGTTCCTAGAGTCACATTTCTCATTTTTTTCTCATTTTTTCTCTAAAGTTTTCTTCTCTAAAATTGAGTACACAACTTCAAATATCATAAACATATTTTTACGACAATCGTCTTTTGAAAGACTCTGCCTAAGTTTAAACAAGTTAGTTGGTCTCTGAAAAAATGTTAGCCTATCTAGAGACCAGAAAATTTGCAAAACTGAGGTGGTCACTCGGTGTCACTTTTCCTCTTGAAATTGTGTAATCCTAGGCCGCAAAACGAAAAAACAATGTTGCCAATAAGCGTTTGATAACAGTGCAGTGGCAAATAATTAATGAGTTATATATTTTTATTGCAATGGCGTGCATGTTTTTATTTTTCGTTGGCCAAGTTTCGCAGTACATGCATGAAACCCTAGGTTTTGCAGTGACGTCGTTTCTAAGTCACTATTTCAGATGGAAGACATAAAACTCTTGGGAACGACACAGAGAATGGTAATGGGAATGACACTTGATCTCTGAATCATAAGACATTACGCCCAAGCTATTCTAATGAATTAATGAATACAAATATTAAGCTACTTGAAAAGTCATCTCATTCTATGTGACGTCAACAAAAATGCACATGCGCAAATTTTAAGGGAAAGTGCTCCCACATGTAAGGATCAGATAGCTTTTTCCTGATACTAATATTCTATCAATACTATACTAGATGTGCTAGCTTCGGCTTGCACGTATAATAAAATTGGAATGATACAGAGAAGATTAGCATGGCCCATGCGACAAGGATGACACGCAAATTCGTGAAGCGTTCCAAATTTTTTTTCTTCAGTCCAAGCTTAACTAATAAGATACAGAATATTTCTGTCATTTTTTCATTTACCTTCTGAAAATTTTTTATTTTTTATTTTTTTGGACCATATATTTATATGAGACTGTTATTATTTTACCAGAAGAATTAAATATGAAAAGAAATCTAACTACTCAACACTTGATAGAATTAATACATATGTTGATATAAAACCCGACGTATTTTGTGCGTTTTTGAGGTCAATCTTACTCAGAGTCTACGTTCCTCTTGGTCAGCAGCGACAAGTAAAGATGTGCAAATTTTGACTCACTAGGGTGGGGTGGAGAACACTTGAACCTGCAATTTTCATCACAAACAAAGATGGCGGCCGTTCCTGCGAGTTTGAAGTTGGTTCAGCCTTATTTTAAAGTAGCAAAAGAATATGAAAAGAGAGATCCAGTTGTAGCTTATTACTGTGAGTAGTTTGAGAAAATCTCAGGGATCTTTGATGTCGTTAGCTGAAGAATTTAAAGTGGGAAGTGATATGGAAAATTGTTCTAAATTTTGACATGACATCATATATATGATTTTAGTTCTAAGTTTTATGTTTTTCCCCCCTAATATCTCTCCCGTTTTTTTAGGCAGGCTATATGCAGTTCAAAAAGGTATTAAGACTGATAGCAAGAGCAAAGAAGGCAAGAGCTTCCTATTTCAGCAAATGGACTTGTTGGAAAAGGTATACTGTAAGTTTAAAAGAGATAGGAAGAATAGATTGAAGCATGCAAAAGGCATCTTTTTTGCAATAAGCAATACAAGGCTCCCCTCTGTTTTCCATATCTCCAATATAAAGGTCTATCAGGTGTAGTGAATGATTCTAACAATTAATGGGCACAAAGACATGGCAGCCATGTTGGTAGTATAAACAGTGAATGGTAATGAGAAGTTGTTGCACACTTGGTAGCTGTGAGCTGCACGCTGAAATTCTGCTTTTTGCTGCAGTCAATCAAAAATAATCAGTCGGTACCTTTTTCTTTGGTACTAATTTCACAAGGAGCTGTTGAAATGTCTGAATTCGCAGAATATGGAAAACTGCAGTAAATATTGCCAACATGGCCAAGATGACATGACATGCATCACCACACTAGACCTTACTCTGCAACAAAAGGGATGTAAAAGAACCACTGAAAGTAAAGAAATCTTAGCATTGTCTGGCTTCTCCTGAATGATGTCTTAAATGATAAGGATATGTTTGTATGGAATTAGAGTCTTTTCCCTGCCTGTGATATGTAAATGTATCTTCACATCTACAGCTATTTCAAAAAAAGTTTGTTAAGGTTTTGTCGCATGTTGTATGTTTTGAAATGTATTTTATTGGTTGTATCGTCGTGTTCGGGAATTGTCAGGGGAATTCTATTCAAATTCAAATTTCAAGTAATCGGCTAGTAATCGTACCCTACGATAGCATAAATTAAATTATAATAAATATTTATGTGCACGCGCTGATGATACATCGTTTAAATATGACTAAAAAATGAGACCACCAAATGGAATTCACTTCGTGGTCTAGGGGTTAGGTTTAGGGTTAGGGTTGGGGTTGGCATTGTAGTAGTTCTTTGGTGCCGAAGGTACCGAGTTCGATTCTTGGTGTCTTCACTTTTTTTTTTTTAAGTGAGGAGTCCCACTCATGAGTGTTCGGAAACCTATGACATACTTCGTTAATCCGTACACAACGATAGTATCATTTTATTCATATATATTTAAATGATGTCAGCATAAATTACAGGGAAAAAATATTCCAGAAAAACGAGCAGATAAAGTTTCTGGTGAAATCTCATATGGTTGTGTCCTTTGGCTGACTGGATTTACGTCACACATATTGCATTTCGGGCTTGGATTTAAGCATGCGACAACACATTCACCAACCTTCATTGAAATAAGGCTGCGTTCATAATGTATGGCAGAGGGGGGGCAGGTGAAAATTTGAAATGTCCAGAATAATTCTTAACACCCCCTTAAAGTCATGCAAAAAAATACAATTCCCCCGAAGCAAGGCTTGCATGTAGCTTCTTTCAACAATTGTGCATCCCCCCCCTATTTTTCTGATAAAAATTTGCCCATCCCCCCTTTTTCCTACCAAAATTTTCCTGATCCCCCCTCAATTTTGCCTGCCCTCCCTCCCCCCCTCTGCCATATATTATAAAAGCAGCCTATCTTTCTGTGAAAGGACCCTAAGAAATTCTCAATCAATGTGGTGAATATATATATTTTCCAGTGTAAGAAAGAATTTGGTCATGAAGAAGCTATAACTAGTGAAATAATGGGACAAACATACATGGATGAGAAAGCTACACAGTTGTTTCTATGGGCTGACACTGAAGACAGAGCTGCAAGATTCAACAGGTTTGGTTAAAATGTAGTCCAGTCTCTCTAGATTTTTCTGTTGATAACTGATGTATTTTGTTTTTAGGAATGTGGTCAAATCTTTCTACACTGCTAGTCTGCTGTATGATACGCTTGCACAGTTTGGTGAGCCTTCCGAGGAGGTAATTCTTTTCTCTAACTCAATAATTTGTGAGAACAAAACAAAGAAAATCACTAGCATGAAGTATGGAAATGTGGGAATTTCTCCAAGAATTATTAATGGTTTTTGAAATAATATTAATCACTTGAAAGAGATTTTCATTCTCTATCCAAACACCTCAAGGTTAGACCTCTAAGTCTGAAACTTTTTGCAAATATTAAAGAAGGAAATAACCTTTAAAAGGCTATAGCCCATGGTACACTATTTCATGTATTTGATATCGCTTCTAAAAGTATAAATATGGAGTAAATCAAAGCATGAGAAATGGCCAGTAGTTATTATTATAACTAGGATAACATACTCACTTGGTAGTGATTAACTTTGCTTTTTCCTCATTGATTATTAATGAGATTAAAAATAAGCTTTAAGCTCTTGAACAGCCAAGCGCAGAATGTCTGAGGATTTGAGTGCAAAGATACACTCACTTTATTCTTCACTTGACTCTGAAGATGACTACTGCTCAGGTTGTCGAAATGTCAGTCCCATCAAACCATCCTTCTCAGGACTACATCAACCCGGACAATCATGATGCAAATGTTGTTACTTCAATAAGCATTCATTCACCTGGGTTCAGACTATTCTATACAATGCAAAGATATAATCAGGAAGAGTGTTTTAAACAGGATTTAGTCTATGATTCTGTTGTTATTTCATACAGGCTGTACAAAGACAAAAATACTCAAAATGGAAAGCCACCTACATCAACAAGTGCTTAAAAGATGGTACTGCTCCAGTCCCTGGTCCTCCGGGGGGTGATGATGCTGCTGGTCTTGGAGATGAATTTGGTTTTAGTGATATGCAGGCACCACCACCCTCCCATCCCTCGAGTGGAGAAAGTGGTCACCCCCCTGATCCACATCAAACTGGCTACCCCTTTTCTAACCAGCCACCAGCACAGCCACCAAGTTATCATCAGGTGTGTCCTGCGTTGCCTTAATTTTTGCCTTTATTTTTTTTTTTTTTATTCACACACAACCATTTTTTACAATATTTTAAATGACTTGGATTATAAATCATAAATATAACATAGACAAAAATAGTTATTTACAAATATAGTGATTTACATGCCCATAGCAACTACCTTAAAGATTTTAGCAGTTTACCATATTTGGTCAGATGGAATGATAATTTGTTATTTTTAACTGCTTTTTTGTATTCGATTTTTTCATATTCTTTTCATATTCATATTATTTTATTTATTTCTTATTTCTGTCTTAATTTTGTTACTTAGTTTGGTCCAACAATTTAAATTTGATGTTTTGCTTGATAATGTTTCACCAGCCTTCTGTGCCAGCAGCGACCCATCAACCAGCCCCCCCAGAACCTCATCCATCCACTAGTGACACAGGATCTTCCAGCGGCATTACCTCAGAAGATTTAGACAAGGCACAAAAATGCTGTCGATATGCCCAAAGTGCATTACAATATGAAGATGTTAAAACAGCAGTAGACAACCTACAGAAAGCATTGGCTATTTTGCAGCCTCATTAATGAATACTATATTTGGTTAATGAATCTTTTTTGTGAGTTTACCACAGGGAGCGCAATTTAGATAAACGTATTAGACAAAAGTATAATGTAAAAAATAACCTTTGTTGAGCTTATTGCATTTAAAGCCTAGAATACATTGGGAAATATATTTATCAAAATTGGGCTCTCACAAAGATTCATTTTGTATACAAGGGAGTTGTGGTAAGAAGCAACGTCCAGACAGACTAGCATGACTACAGTTTTGGAGACATTACTGATAATAATGGAAAATAATTAATGAAACATCAGGTAACAAAATATCCTTTCTGTGTGGTGGGTTTCCTGTGGTCACCATGACACCCACAGTAAAACCAGGTATGCACACTATGAGTAGGCTCTTACTCGTATCACCTTATAACTCCCCTCCCTCCCCCTCCTAGCCTAAAGTGCTGCTACTTAGGCTAACATCAACTTCGCAAACATTTCTACCAAGGTTTTAATTCACGTTTTGGATTTTGCTAAGTATTACAACCATACCTTGCAATTGTTATTGTTAACATAAAACTTAAGGAAAATATCACATTTTAAAATAAAATCCAATGGAGTAAAAGATCTTCTTAATCAAGAAATACTTTTTACCCAGTGTACTAAAAATGCAAAAAATATTAGGTCCTACTGCATGAGCCCCAAATCAATTATATCATATTCTGTGTTAGCATTAGTTCTATGATATGTTTCTATAGACCTGGCCTGGCATTGATTTTCTATAGGAATTGTTCTGGGGGACAAAACAAGACGCTGCCTTTTCTCAATCCAAACAAATCCATTGCTTTGTCCCCAAAAACAACTCCTCTTGGGACTCAGTTCTTAGAGTGTTGTCGGCAGTCCCTACTTTTCCTCCTTTCCCCCCTGCTTACTTGGCTCTAATCTCTATGAGAGTCCACAGCAATCCTGAAACACTGGTTTTTACCGAGTCTGCTTGCAGTCTATATTGAATTACATAAACTGCCTATTTTTACTCTTGTGTACTATTATTGGAAGGACAGCAAGAAACATCTGGTAAAAGTTTGGATTTTTTGTCCGACTTACTTTGAATTAATTAAAGTAAAAGATCTCTCTTAAATGACAATCATCTATTCTTAGTTTTTAATATTTTCCTCAAATATTCGGAGCGTTTCCGGTTCCGGGGGGTTTATTCGGCCGAGTCCTCTGTACGGAAATGCGGGCAGTGAGATCGATGTTCATGATGATAAGACCACGTGACTATACCATCAACATGGCTGCCTGGTTGAGCCAAGATGGGAGCTACGTGCACCAAAAATCGTAAAATTTACCTCCAAAATGCAGGAAAACCAGGATGAAAATCTCCAAGCACCTCTCGTAGGATATTGAACTTTGAAATGGTACAAATTACACCGCGTTTTGTTTGTAATTTCAAGATTTTAGCGAGTGAGAATAACTGACTGAAGCTTGAAGTCAGCTCTGACCACAACTTGGCTCGAGAAGAGCTGGTCATTTTGGGTTTTCGGGGAATTCTTTTCGACCGAAAAAGACTCTAAAGATATCCCTTTTGTTCTGTTAAAGGTAAGGAATACAGCTTGAAATTCTAGACTTTTAGGAGTGAGTTTGAGCTAGCGTAGGAGATGCAGTGAGTTATGCTTCAAGTTGCACTTTCTGCTGAGGGGATTTTTTAAACTCAAAAACACCTACGCTTTTTTCAGTGTGACTTTTATCCTCCATCCTCTCAAACTTCCTCCTTTTAATTTCCACTCCTATAAAAGGCCTTTTTGGTCTTTACCTCGCAGATAGACAGCCAAAATTTTACTACTAAACTACATTATTTGGAAGACATTTAAAAAAGACTTCCTTTCCTGTCATCACTTTTTCTTTAAGCATGGTTATTTTATTTTTTGTTTTATTTATTTTGACTTATGTTATTCCAAAGTAATTATCTTAAGCATTTTCTAACATTTACTTATAAAATACTTGCTCTGAATCCTTGAGAAAATCTTATCATGTATTGTAATCAAACAAAATAAAACGAAAAGTACGTAGAGAAATGAAAACGTTATGAGAGCTGATCGTAAAAGATTGTTTTTGTTCACGGTTTTTACATAATAACCAAAACTTATAATTAGAAATAATTCTGATCATTGTCGTGATGTTAAATCTCTTTTAAAGCACATTCTTTTTTCATGGGATTTCAAACCAACAGTATACGAATCTTCAAGTAACTTGATTTATTTACTCTTCTTAGATTAACATCAGTTCCAATTTTTTCCCTGAATTTGGTCGTCTGGAATTACTAATGAATTTAAAATTGAAATTGAAAGTGTGAAAATTAACTTCTAATGTGGACCTTATTTGCAACTCAATTTAATCAAAATCCTTCCTGACCGATTCTTTTGATATTTTTTTTGTTGGAATAAATTATTCTGTTGGGTAAATTATAGGCTATGATTTTAAAATGTCTGTGAAGCAATTTTTTTAAAAGTATATTTGCTTCTTGGGTAATAATTATGAAAGATGCAAATGGCGTTTCTTCAAGCTCAAAAAAAAATTTCTGAGAAAAATATTCTTGAAGAAACACAAATCGCATCTTTAATAGTGGCATTATTATATTTCATGTACGATCTATAGATATGCTTTTGTTCATATGAGGTACAAATGGTACAGTAGGATCTACGAAACATGAATTTTCTTTAGTTTGATACCTTATATATATTGTGCCATGGATCGGTTAATATTATGGATTTCCTATAAGTACTTTTATCGTGAATTTATTCTGTTTAGGAAGCCATAGGCTATCTTGAACAAAAACGTTTTTATTGTGAAATACTTGGAGTAAATCCAGTTTATATATTTAAATAGAAAATCTCAATAATCATATTTGTGAYGGTATTTTTACAGCTACATGTATATTAGAATAAGCATATATTTAAATAAAACATCTCGATAATAATAATTATATTTGTGACAGTATTTTTACAGCTACATGTATATTAGAATAAGCAACTGTTCTCATATTTCTTACCATTTGTCATTTGCCATCAATGCATAAGAACAAACATAATTATATAATATACTTTAGCTTGAATAATCTTAAATTATCAAGGAATGTTATTTCAGACCATGTATCATTCCCTTGAGTATTATTATTTTTATTTACCCGCAATACACGAGAAGAAGTTCACATTATATAATATATATAATCTTGAAGAATCTTTTCATTATCAAGGGAAAGTTATTTCAGACCATGTATCATTCCCTTGAGTATTATTATTTTTATTTACCCGCAATACATGAGAGGAAGTCCACATCATATAAATATAGCTTGAAGAATCTTTTCATTATTAAGGGAATGACATCTCAGACCATGCATCATTCCCTTGAGTATTATTTTATTTAATTAAAATTTGGCTAATTTGGTCTGAAATGGAAAACGAGTGAGGAGGTGGATTCTTCCCACAACAGAGTATACATACATTCCTGTGGATATTAATCATATGGTTTAAAAGCATTGATCAGTATCAAGCTCTCTACCCTCAGGGCAAAGTATGATTGAGTAGAACTTTGCACACACTTCCATTAGTTTTTACTTTCTATTATTGCACTAAGATAAGTTAAGGAACCAGTCAGACTGTCATAATATCAAATTAACTAAAACATTTCATTGGATAAAATCTTAATAAATTTTAAGAAACCAGATTGTTAATTTCCCTTTTTAGATTCCATTTATTGCAGCTGAAGGCAATGTGGGATTAGTGTGGGGTGAGGAGGAATGGTCAATGCTGGAATAATAGATAGTATTGGGGGGAGGGGAGGGAGAGGGGTAATAGTGGAGTTGTTGGTAATCAAGGTAGTGTCAGGGGAGGGGTGGTCATTAATGGTGCAGTTATGAGGAGTCGGGGGAGTCAGGGGGGGGGTAATAGTGGAGTTGTTGGTAGTCAGTGTAGTGTGGGGAAGGGGTGGTCATTAATGGTGGAGTTATGGGTAGTCAGGGGGAGGAGGGGTAATAGTGGAGTTGTGGGTAGTCAAGGTAGTCAAAAGAAAACTCAAAGAAATGATGATATTTTCAGAATAATCAGAATAAGAAAACAAGCAAATCCTAGATTCAAAGCTAATGGCACATGCACTGGAGTTTAAAGAGATGTCAATTGTGTTATGAACTTAATTGTTTTTTATTTATAAGGCATAATGTCAAGAAAACACAGTACACTATTAAAGGAAGAAATAGATGATGAAGTGGAGGGATCAGGTGGAGACAAGAAGAAAAGAGAGAAAGAGAAAGAAGGAGGTAAAACAGAAACAAAAATCTTTTAAATTTATCAAATAATGTTAATAATGATAAGTAATAGTAATAATTTATTCAAAAATACTTTCAAATAACAGCAATGATATTAATAATAAAACAATAAAAAAGAGATTATGAATATAAAATAACAAATATATGTACAAATTACTTAAAAAATAATAATGATAATAATAATAATAATGATAATAATAATAATAATAATGGCTTTTACTTAAACACAATAATAAATTAAAGCATTGCTGATGTGGTCGTGTATCTACAACTATAAAGAAACATAAAGTGTTTATTTTAAGAATCCCAACTGGCATGGATGCACACTAGTTAGCTATTTACAAGCATGGTTGAGAAACTGAATCTGAACTAATCAGGAATCAGGTCAAATACAGTCTCAGCTAGTGGCCACAGCGGGACTCAAACCTGCTGCACCACTGGATTGTGAGACTGACGCTATGACCATTCAACCATGTGCCTCCTCAAAGAGTTTTTGCAGAGGGAGTAAAACTGTAGAACCTGGAGGAATGCAATTGAATGAAAAGGGAAATCTTAACAAATTCTGCTTACGTGATGTCAAAATCAGGAATAAATTCTTATTTATAATATAATATTAATTTCTAATATATTAATCAAACCTGAAACCCTCAGGGCTCTCTGATTTTCTTAACAAATTCTGCTCACATGATATCAAAAACAAGAATAAATTCTTATTTCTAATATAATATTAATTTCTAATATATTAATCGAACCTGAAACCCCCAGGGCTCTCTGATTTTCTTAACAAATTCTGCTCACGTGATGTCAAAATCAGGAATAAATTCTTATTTATAATATAACATTATTTTCTAATATATTAATCGAACCTGAAACCCCCAGGGCTCACTGATTTTCTTTCCACTGGAAACATCATTATGTTCCTATTTTATCTTTGTAGCTTTTGTCACTGACTTGTTCTTTCATTTTCGTTTTTATAGTAGAAAAGAAGAAGAAATCTCACAAGAAAGGAGGGGTGGAAAGAAGTGAAGGATATTACAATGACGTCATGTCAACAAAGCAAAATACTGCCATCAGTACCGCTGCAGTTAATCCAAGTGCAGAAATGGTAACATCACCAGTACATACTCAACCCTCGGCAGTCATCCCCCCACCATTACAACCACCCCCTCAGTCTCATCAAAGTCACCGACATCATGTAGCACAACAGAATTACAATGTCGCTGTATCACAGATCTCACCTAATGCGCAAGCATATGCTGTGCAAGGCGTCCAAGGACAGGTTGGTGTGCAACAGATACCTGGAGTACAACAAAAACAAGGTGTGCCAGGACAGGTCGGGGTACAACAGATACCAGGAGTACAACAAATACATAACCAGCAAGTTGCTGCAGGACACTGGCAGCAGCAGGCCGCACCTCAAAGAATTCTACCCCCGCCTAGCACACAGCATGTTCAAATTTTGCAACAACCATTCCAGCAAATACAGTCCCCCCAGCAACCCCACCCCCAGGTCCAATTTACACCCCAAGTGCAACAAGTTCAGTACCATCCCCAACCCCCACAGCAAGGGTATTACTCTGTAGTACAGTACCCCCATGGGGTGGCAAGGGGTCCCAATCAAGTGCCTGGACAAGTAGTTCCATACCAAACACATCCTATTGCCGTACATCCTGGAATGGTTGCTGATGACCAGGGTAATGTCTGGACACCTACTGCTCCTCAGAGCCCTACCAATCAGGGACAGATACAACATGAGGGAACCTGGCCACAACATCCCGAAGGTGAGATCAATGGAAGGGGAAGCATGGGTGGCATAGCGGTGAAAGCACTCACCTCTCACCAATGCGACCTGGGTTTGAGTCCCGACGAGCTCGGTATTGTATGTGAGTTGAGTTGTTTGTTGGTTCTCTCCTGTGCTTCGAGGGTTTTCCAGGTTCTCTGTCCTGCTTTCCTCTCTTCGCAAAAATCAATTTCTAAATTCCAGTTATGGAATCCAGTGGAAGAAGAGCCCCTCTGTGGAATCCACTGTTAATCCCATTATTATTATTACATAATATCCATAATTATTTATTAGAAATAACGTGTGTTGATTGGCTGCCTACTGTTTGGGAGTTGAGGGTGGTGTACAGTTGTGCACTCGCATCTCACCTCTGGGTCTTGGGTTTGATTCTTGGACTCAGCATCTCCCTCGGATTTTCCCATTCTTCCTCTGTGGAACTTATCACACTTGGCAATGCCTTCCTTTCACTACTAGAGCGGCCAAAAGTGGCCAGCAGAAAGCCCCTTTTGTGGCTTGGGTTACCTTTGGAGTAAAAATATGGGGGGAAATGGAATTTGATTATTGAAAATTCTGAGAATTTTATTTTTCCAGGAAAGTGGAAAGACTGATAAAGCAGTCTGAATACATGCACTCGTGAAGTAGTAAATACCCTTTTACATTGGTTTTTCCAGGAAATTGGGCAGGACAACCACCTGGTACTGCTGATCCCAACTGGCGCCCAGGAATGGTCCCAGCACAGGATCAACAAAGAGAAGGAAACTGGGCGGCATTTGACGGCAGCCYTCCATTTGAAACCAAAGCTCAATTAACCAATAGAAAAGAAATAACATGGAAAGAAAGTCCTGACAACAGCTCAAGTGATGAAGAAATTGAGCGCAGTAGTTCACCAGAGCTGGCTGGCGAGGAGGGGGAAGGTCTTTTGAGGTAAGCTGCATTATAACTACTATTTAAAGCAGATTTCACTTACAAATACACACATATACAAATACATTCTGCTTGGTTTGTACAGGTCTTACAGCTCAACTTCTGTAACCAGGGCAACTTAGACAAGAGAACCACTTGAAATCTAGAATGAAAACAATATTATTATTATAACTTTGGGTTGTCCAGCTAATCAAAACATAGACTGCAGGAGAATGGTTATTTGACCGGCTGACGTTATTTGAAATGACTAGATAGCCTTCATTTTCTTGTGGGAATAAAAAGATATCTTTAGCGGCAATTTGTTTCTCCTGGTCTCTGCTTGGCACAACTACCAAAAGTTGGAATGTACTGTTTTCATTTTACAATTCAATAACAGCGCACTGATTCTAAAAATAGCTTAAAGATTCGGACAAACATAGCATTCTGTTTAACCGCTACGAGGATTATACGAACCGATTTTATTATTTTTACTTAAAGATACAATAATAACCCATGTAAGCTAAGATCAAGTGCGATCAGCTGTGAAAATTATCTGCTGAAAGTAAACTTGTAAGTTTGTTTGTCCGAATTTCGCCTTTGTCTTCGTTTTTATGACGTCATGACTGCACTGTGCTATTGGTTCTGGCTGTTTAGGTTGCCCTGGTTATATTGGTCACACTTTAAAGGAACCAATGTTTGTCTGGGAGTAGTAAAGTGACCTCTTATCTCCTTCAACAACAATTTTTGGAAGAATTTAACGTAGAACTCTCTTACTGTATTCGTTATTCTGTTATGAATATTTGTTAATTATTGTAATTTGTCATTTTTTTCATGTATATCCACGTCATATGATAGCTTTTTCTCTATTAATTTATTGTACTTTAACATAATGTAATGTTTTTGCTTTGTAAAGATGAGCCTGCCCTGACTAGCTGTGCTATTTGCGGGTTCATGTATTCTATCATATATTGTATTAAATTTTATGAAATAAACTTAAACTGAAACTGAAACTTAACTTGGAAATATTACCAGTACGTGAGTGGAGTTTGTTAAGTTTCTAACTTGATTCAAGGATATTAACCATAAGTTGTTTCTAGGTTTGATGTATGATTTAGCCATGCTTGACTTAGATAAGCTTAGAAAACATTTCATAATTGTTCAATAAAATATAAGAATATTAAGTAAGTTTAAAACATACTTGTACTGTACCGAAAATTATAAATCTAATCGTCTGGGTGTCATTTTGCTTCAAAAATATGTAGTCATTCAAAAGTTACACTGAGTATATGATTCACAAAATTTTATATATATAGTTTTTATTTTTCCTTTGCACATATCAGCTAAAGAATAGTCAGAAAAAGATTAATTTTTAAATTCTCTGTACAAAAAGAAAAATATTGCGTTACACATGAATTATTTATTACTTGTTATGTTAATATTTTGATACCTGTCATTGGTCAGTATAATTGTTTTTAGTACAAAGACAATAAGAGAACCATAGAATGTTCTTTGTTTTTCTGGAGTAAAATTACCATATGATTCACTGTATTCAACAACCATCAGCTCTTCAAAAAATAGTATCCTAGATTTCTAGACCTGCTGGATGGAGAACAAGGATTGTATTCTTCAGGATTTCTTAAGGTTCATTCATAAGATTTGTCATGTAGTTTCAGAATTAAGTGTGAATCCATTCAAGCTGGATATTATTTTTTGGCACAATCAATGGACATTTGTAAATCTTTACAACACCATCCGGATGAAACTGTTGGAATAGAATGTATCATGCCTCGTTCAATGTGAGAACATAATCTTATGCTAACTTTTTTTTTTTAAATAGTTTTAATTACAACTCTGCAACATATTCAAGCTGGGTTTATAAGTTGTACGATTTGCATGGGTAAATCAGACGCTTCGACTTTTAAAAGAATACCATTATGTCTCATTCAACATGAGAACTTTTCTCAGATTTTTTGATATATACTTTCCATACTATACAGTATAAAAATGTTAAATGACATTTTTTCTATCAGTAATACTCAAAATATTTTTCCTAATATTTCCTAAAGACTAATATTTTTTAATACTATTTTTCGTTAGAAAACGAATAACCAAAGATTCTGTTAACTAAACTAAGCTTATTTCTGAATATTTATTTAGATCTTTCTTCATGATATTGTCAGAGAGTTGGACCTGTTAATAAATAATCTTACTGAATGATCTCTTAACTAAGTTTATTTCTGAAGATTTATGTAGATCTTTCTTCATGATATTGTCAGATAGTTGGACTGTTAATAAATAATCTTACAGAATGATCTCTAACTAAGTTTATTTCTAAATATTTAGGTCATTCTCTCTTCATGATATTGTCAGATAGTTGGACCTGTTAACAAATATTCATACAGAATAATCTCTTGAAAATATATTTTTATTATTGTTTGTAATCTGATGTTGAAATCAAAATGAATTGTAGAATTTTTACTCACTTGTTTAACAAATGTTTATTTTGATTTAATTCTTGAGTGACTTACAGTTGTTTTAACTGTACATAGAAAATTTTTATCGAAACTTTGCAGTTTGCAGGCTTTTTCTTTTTGTGCTTTGGTCGTTTTTGCTGTCTATAAAACATACCAAGTCACAGGGAAGTGAGCCATGTTGACATATGCATCGTTACTGCGCATGAGCAGAGTATTGTTTGCAGTGAAATGGCTTTGCATGATAATGCGCATGAGCAGAATATTATTTGTAGGTAGTAATTTGCCGTTACTGCTGTCTATCAAACATACCAAGTCACAGGGAAGTGAGCCGTGTTGACACATGCATCGTTACTGCGCATGAGCAGAGTATTGTTTGCAGCAAAGCGGCTTTGCATCGTAATGCGCATGAGCAGAATATTATTTGTAGATAGTAATTTGCCATTACTGTGTCTCGGCCAATCAAAATGACAGAAAAAATATTTTGAATGATGATGCAAATTTATTATTATTATTATTATTATTATTATTATTATTATATATACTTTCTTATTGCCATTAAATTGTAGTAAATAAATAAATGACTGTAGTTATAATTCTAGAGCTTTATCTTTGACTTGCTTTACTGATAACTTACTTATTATGCATTTTACTCACTTCTAATTGACCGAAAGCCTTCAGGCAATCCCTAATAAATGTACCATGTGAACTGGATATGATAAATGCATTATGTGCATAAACACCTACTGATTATTTATTCATCATGTCATGTTCACTCAAGGCTACTGCAGAGATAGTCTACTACGCAGGCACTATTAGTTTCCTCACACAATGCTCTACTGCAGAGATTGAAATATGTTTGCTATTTTTATGTCATGTTCACTCAAGGTCACTGCAGAGATTGAAGTATGTTGAGATATATTTTTCAATTCTTTATATTCCTTAATAATAAGTGTACTGCTTCAGCAGATAACAGTCTTGATAATTTACAATATAATGCTCAACCTCATTCAATAATTATTGTTTAATATTTCCAGAGCTCCTTCTCTGACAAGCTTCGCAGAAAGCACCAGTAGTATCGAGGAAGAAGGTGAAGACAACCCTTGGAAGATACAACTAGAACAACAGGAATACTACACTAAACAATTCAAAAGATTGCAGCCTGATGACGGCGGTGTTATTAAAGGTATGATCTTGTTACTACGTTTTCATAAAAGCAAATCATGACTAGGTCAATGACCATGAGCGTAGCCAGGATTTTGCCCTAGGGGGGGGGGGGGGAMAAAACTCATTTTCAGAACATCTGTAAGTCAAGTGGGGAGAACCTACATAGCACTCAGTTGATGTAATGTATTCAGAAATTCTATTGTATTCTATTGTCATTCTATCTATTGTATTAGGTATGATTCATTGTATTTTTATGAACACGTTACATCAACTGCTTGCATAGGCTCTCCCAAGTCTTGTGGCCTTATCATGTGACTACTTAGATGTTTAGGTTTCTACAGAGTGTTTAGGTTTCTACATAGTGGGGGGGAGGGGGGGCAGGGCTCCCTTGGCCCACTGGCTAAGCCATTGGTAAGTGTGATGTCAGCAAAGCAAGAGGTCTGAAGGTCATAGACTAGTGAAAACAAACAAATGCATTGGTTGGAAGCTGAGGAGATGTACCGTGACAAGAGATGAATTTAAAAAATGGAGAGYTCCACAACTGAGAAAATTTCTCAAATATTGTGGGGCCATTATTTTATCGTCTTTGTTTTGTTTTGTTCCCCGGGCAACTTATGATGTCTAGTGATTCAAGATGGCCACCATATCCTCAAAGTACAGTATTCCATTGCTCTTCAAATAATCAGGTTTTTTTACTTTCATTTTCTTGATTTTTGATGCAGGTCCAAAGGCAAGAGATTTCTTTTTAAAATCCAATCTGCCTACAGAAACCCTTTCAAAGATTTGGTAAGACAAGATCTTTATATTCCTCTAAATAGACTAGCAAGACAGTACTTATTTTAGTATACAATACCTGTGGTATTTAAGTGATTACATACAATATGAGAGGCAAATTTGAATGGGCATTAACAAGGGTTACCCAGATGCGACCCATTGTAAAGCCTATATGGATATAGGTGAATATCATATATTGTATATTTAGTGACCATGAAAATGAGGGTATATAGGGGATACTTCAAAATATTTGGGGGGAAATATGTCCCCCCAAAAAATTGGAAATTAGCCATTCCAAGGTTGAGGCAAAAACTGGGTTGAGTTCGCATTGCAATGCATTTTGGGACTGTTTTACAGGACAATAAAGATGTCTTGAAAATAATAATGTCCCCAAAATAGCCCCACAATTTACTGCCTTGCCAACTTGACCAGCCAACTGCACCCAGTTTTTTTCTCCACACCTGAATGGGTAGTACTAATTGGGGGTTGGGGGATGTATTTTTTTCTATTTTCTTACCCCTACCCACCCCTCCCATCCTGTTAATTAATGAACAGTCCCTCATTAATGTGTTCTTTACCATAACAGGCACCTATCGGACATCAATAAAGATAATGCTCTAGACCTAAATGAATTCTGCATAGCCATGCACCTCGTGGTGGCCATAAGACATGGATTAGAATTACCATCAACATTACCAGATGTACTTTTATATCACAGATGCCAGGAAACAGCTAATGGTATGTCGTGAAATAAACGTATGATGGCTAGTGAAGTTTTAAAAACAATAATAATTACTGTCAAAAGCCTGGGGTGACGTCGCAGTCAATAATATACTGAAATTATAAACTCTTATGACTTAAAGTCACAACATTTTGAAAATGAAGAAATATTTCACCATTCAACTATTCACTTTATGTAGAATCAATACTGAAAGTATTGTATCAGGGGGTTAGGTGCACTGTAATTGACAAAGATTAGAATGAATGTTTTTTATTTCTTTATTATTTTTTTGTTTTTCCATGAAGATGATTTGTCTAGTGATAGAACTACACCATTACCAGAAAATGTTCGACAAGATAATATGGATACAGTACATGAGGTAGGAGATAATAACATCATCATCATCGTTATTATCATCATTATCATCATCATTATCCTCCTCCTCATCATCATCATTATCACCATTATCATCATCATCACCATCATCATCATTATCATCACCACTATCACCATCATCATCATCACCACCATCATTATCATCATCATTATTATTATCATCATTATACTATTTCATCACCACCATCATCATCATCATCACTTTTATCATCATCATTATTATTATCATTATTATCATCATTYGTTATATACTATATCATTGCCACCATCATCATCCTCATCATCACCACCACCATCATCATTATTATCATCATTATACTATATCATTGCCACCATCATCATCATCACTTTCACCATCTTTGATGTCTTCTCTTATCAACAAAATCATCTTCATTTGAGCACAATCTGACACTGCTGAAACCATTCTCTGTTATCATCAGCAGCAGCAGCATCACCAACCCTCATTATTATTACCACCACTACCACCAACATCATCACAAACCACTACCATCATCAACACCAACCCTCATCACGTCACCACCATCATCATAATCATCATCATCAACACCCACCATTACCCTCATCGTTACCAACACCACCAACATCATCAGCATCAGCATCATCACCACCAACATCATCATAATCACCATCAACACCAACCATCACCCTCATCGTTACCACCACCATCATCATAATCATCATCAACACCAACCATTACCCTCATCGTTACCACCACCACCAACAACACCAACATCATCAGTATCATCAATATCATCAGCATCATCATCATCATCAACACCAACACCACCACCAACAACAACAACACCAACATCATCATCATGAATATCATCAACATCATCATCATCACTATCATCACCAACACCACCACCACCAACATCATCAACACCATCAGCATCATCATCAACACCAACACCACCAACAACAACACCAACATCATCATCATGAATATCATCAGCATCATCATCATCATCACTATCATCACCAACACCACCAACACCATCACCAACATCATCAGCATCATCACCATATCTTTATAACTGTAAATCCTCACCAGTATCTTAACTACATGATGTTTAAATGCATGATTAAATATAACTACACTATTGCTAAGATAACTGCATGATTGTTTGCACTCAACTGCACTGTGTACTGCACTTTTCTCAAGGTTTCAAAGCCATGGGCACGATTTAGACCATCATCTTACTCTGATAGATCAAAGATTCTCAATCACATCTCTTTCGTAAGTCCATTCATACCATTGTTCTATACGTCTGTGTGTAATATCTGTTGGTCTGGTATACACTATAAGTAATATATCTAACACATCAAAGAGTGTTTCATCTGATTTCCGAAAACCGAGAAGTGAGTTGAAAAAAATTAGGTCAGTGAGTGAGTGAAATAAAAAAAAAGCGATGCCAATTGCCCTATTTCGCTATGACGTCACTGCTTGTTTATGTGGGGGATAGAATCGCCAAATCCAATAGAAAATTCAACAAAATTTGCTCCTTGCGAAACAGTTTAATCTAAAATGGCCTGGTTTTCAGATGTAATATGTGTTAATATGTACTAAAAAAATATTCTGAGAGTTTTCTGGCTATTCTATTTTGCTTCGTGGATTGATACGGGTTTTAGAACAATTTTCGGTGAATCTGCGTCGATTTGATCCCCTCCGACGATCATGATCCTTTGCGTTTAAACAATAGATTGTTTTGATGTGACGTCATAGTGAAATAGGGCAATACAGCTGTAGTTTCATTTTTTATTATTATTAATACTAGGAACCAATATCATGGCAGGGTTGAAATAATCATTGGATGTACTCATTCTTCTCGTAGGATCATTCTGTTAGTAAACCAATAACTTACAGAGACTCTAAAGAAGATACCGATGATGTTAGACCTCGCTCACTGTCAGACCCATCAATCAACGAGGACCAACCATCAGAAGTGTCTCGTAAAACCTCAATGCCGTCCTCTAATGTCTCCAAGCCTAATGCTGATGGCACACTCAGTCCTGGTCCTGGGCCTACAGTCAGTATTGAGAGGCCGAGAGCAGTAGCTAAGTTCAGCTTACTGGATGCTCAACCTGGACAGCTTCTGCCACCTCCGTCTGGAAAGTTTGGTGGCTGGACACAGTCAAAGCCCGACAGAAAAGATTCCTATTCTGGAGAGTCTGATGAGGATACAGATGAAGACTCTGAAGAAGCAGAAGAAGAATCAAGACCATTGTCACCCGGTCAGGCCATGCCAGGGCCAATGCCGGCTGTCCCTGAAGACAGTACCTCAGAGTCTCCTCGCACCCCACCCTCATCACCCCTACAAGGATCTCAAGTACCCAAACCAGTGTTCCCAGATTCTGCCCAAGTCACTCGGAGATTAAGCAAGAAAAGTAACGAGAGACCAAGGTCTGCTGGTGATTTAAATGACGTGAAGCCGCTGTCACCAAATGATAGTAGTGCTGGTTCAACACCCACTAATAGTAGTATTGGGTCTGACGGCAAGAAGGAACCACCCCCACCACCACCCCCTAGGAACAAAAAAGGTCATTCCAGGTCATCTTCATTGGATCTGAATAAACTGTTTGCTTCGAAAGGAAAAGAGAGTAGAGGTGAGATCAACGTTTTTGTTATATATACCAGTTATAGAATGCTTTAGAATGGTATACCATGGAATATACCACACATTTTCTAGTATAAACATGAGCGTTTAGGCGAGTGCGTATATAAAGAAAATACAGATGACAATTGAGATATTGCATGGTGTACCACGAGAAGTACACTGTTGAAAATGAAAATGCAAAGATTCAATGCCTGACGCATATTTATCAGAATCAGAATTCTTGAATTTCATTGGTTGATACTGATGATCCACAGGAACCCCAATTTGACTTTCTTGTGAATCGATGTTTATTGGTTTAAGCTTATAAGTCTTGTCTTCTTGTTTCAGCCAATACGATTGGATCTCCTAGCTCAAGTCATTCTAGCCAGGTAAAATAGATTGCTTTCAATGCTACTATGCCCTTGTATTAGCCATTCCGAGGTTGAGGGAAAACTGGGTCGAGTTAACATTGCAATGCATTGTGGGGCTGTCTTAGGGGACATATTTTCCAGATGATGTATGTGTTATACTTCATTTTCTCCTTTCTTACATTTATACTTTTAGGTTCTTAATCGCAGATTTAAATATAGATTTTAATTTAGATTTTCATAGATTTTATATTGTTGATCACCGGTTTATACCAGCCATTCTATCGTGTCCAGCTGATCGGTTTTTTAAAATCAGAATAAATAAAGATATTATTATTATTATTATTATTATTATTATTATTATCGTTGTTGTTGTTACTCTTATTATTATTATTATTTTATCATTCATAGCATAGTCAGAATAGCGATATAGCCATATCTTCCAAGACCCCGGAGCCAAAGAATGAAGAAGAAGATGGAGAAATCAAAAAGTCCAAAGAAGATGTCGCCAAGGAAGAGAATTTTGCAGATTTCAGTAACTTTGAAACATTGGTCAAAGCACAGAGTACTGTTGATGAGACCCAGATGAATGTACCGACTGGTGGACGTACTCATAGGCGCTCGCTTTCTCTTGATCAATGCCAGGTCTGTATTATTCGATTGAACGTTACGCCGTATCTCGGGGGAGGTTGGTGGCATTTAACAAAAGATTTCTTATTAGCATCCATTGTTAACGGCACCAAAATGTTTTTGTTTTTTGACTCTCTTGGGAATGCTTGCAACCCATCAATTGCTGGGTTTCAATCACCTGATAAAAGCCTTAAAGCCTAAGAATCTCATATCTGCTTCAAATGGTGATCAAACACTGGCCACCATGTGCTGTCATTAAGAAAGAATTCTAGTAAAAACTTGAGATGCCGCTCGTGAACATTCCCCACGGGATAGGAAATCACGTCAACCCAGCAATTAGCCATTCAGAGCTTGAGGAAAAACCTTGGTCGAGATAGCATTGCAGTACATTGCAGGGCTATTGCATGCTATTGCTCTTGTTTGTTCCTCCTGGTGATGTTGTTGATTTTGCTGCTGTTGTTGGTGTTTCTGTYGTTGTTTCTCCTAGTGTTGTAGTTTTCGTTGCTGCTGCTGCGTTGTCGCTGCTGTTTATACTTTCTAATTTTTTCCAGGATTATTTGCCAAAGGCCACAAAACCCAACAACAATGAAGGCATGTTTATCACTATATTCTTTATCAATTTTTTAAAATCACCCAACGCTTTTTTCTAACATCAAGTTTATTTTCTTTATTTCAGTTGTGACAAGAACAAATAACGGTCCTGCTAAAGTACAGGAAGCTCTACCTAGACCTGTACCTAAGCTGGTTGGTGCAAAATGTTTTCTTATTTTTTTGCTTTTCTTTCCTTTTCCTTTCTCGTTTGTTCATCTCTTTCCTTTCTCTTTCCTTTCTTTCATTCTTTTATCCGTCCGTCCTTCTTCTTTCCCTCCCTGTTCCTTTATTCCTTCCTTTCTTAATCCTTCTTTCGTTTCTTTCTGTGTTTCTTTTTACTTTTGTTCTTTCGTTCCATCATTCGGGGTTTTTTTTCTTGTTTTTTTTCGTTCCTTCGTTTCTTCCTTCTGTTTCTCTAGCTCTTTAGCTGCCCTAAACATTTTCCCTTCACTAATCATTAACTATCAAGCTGTGTTTCAAAAATCATTTGAAATAAGTGAAATGTAAACATCATGTTTGTAGAAGCCGCCTGGATCGCCTCCTGTAAAACTATTAAAGCTTCCTGATAGAACACCGAAGAAAGAAGGCTCCGAGGAGAGAAAACTTAAAACAGAGCCCCCCAAAGTTATTGTCAAGTAAGTCCAGTTGATTTGACAAAGTAATTTTGGACGCTAGTAAAGTAATTACGCACGCGTACAAAGTCATTGTGCACGTGTACAAAGTGATTGTGCACGTGCAAGAAGTGATTGTACACGTGAAGAAAGTGATTGTACACGAGTACAAAGTGATTGTACACGTGACCAAAGTGATCGTGCACGTGTACAAAGTCATTGTGCACGTGTACAAAGTGATTGTTTACGAGTACAAAGTGATTGTGCACGTGATTAAATTGATTGTACACGAGTACAAAGTGATTGTACACGTGACCAAAGTGATCGTGCACGTGTACAAAGTGATTGTTCACGAGTACAAAGTGATTGTGCACGTGTACAAAGTGATTGTTTACGAGTACAAAGTGATTGTACACGTGACCAAAGTGATCGTGCACGTGTACAAAGTGATTGTTCACGAGTACAAAGCGATTGTGCACGTGACCAAATTGATCGTACACGAGTACAAAGTGATTGTGCACGTGACCAAATTGATTGTGCACGTAACCAAATTGATTGTGCACGAGTACAAAGTGATCGTACACGTGACCAAAGTGATCGTGCACGTGTACAAAATGATTGTGAGAACAAAGCGACGGTGCTAAAAAAAACGTGAACGTAATTGGACACGTGAACAAAGTCATTGTGCGCGGGGACAAATTGATTACGCGCGAGAACAAAGTGATAATTGCGCTCGAACTCCCAGAATTTTGAATCCAATATCAACTTTTTCTTATGCAGACCGCTTACCAAAAAAGGAAAGCTGCAAAATAATATACGTGACTTAAAGGATAAAAACCATTTATTGTCAAGACTAAATAGCGAGCTACAACAAGAATGTAAAGAGGTGAGAACCAAACAAAAGTATCAATGTTTTATTGAATTCGGCGATAGCCGTCACGTCGTAAACACCGTGTTGGATTGTGTTTGGGTCACCAAAAAGGTCGGACATCGTTCTCGGATTCCCATACAAATTCACTGACTTTAAAGAGAAAATTTATATACAGACTTCTTTAGTTAGCTCTCTTAACAGCAGTAAGAAAAGCTTCAATCAAGTTAGAAAAATGATATTTTACTTGTATTTAGAGAACTAATTAAACAAACCAAGTAAATAGTTCATTTAAAGTCAGTTCATTTGTACGGAAATCCGAGAACAATGTCCGAACTTCTTGGTGACCGTAACACAATCCAACACAATTTATACCACGTGACGGCTGGCGCCGAAAAGCTGAATTCATTCAATTACGGTAGTAAAATTAAGAGATCTCTTTCCCTGATTTACGGAAGTTACCTTTGTTTACGTTTTTTCCCAATCTTGGACTCTTTTTGCTATCTCTTCTTATTCGCTTAACTTTGCTCTTTTCTCGTAGACTTGAATGAGGGTTATTTCGATATTTCTCTCAAAGCTCACTATTTTATTATATATATTTTTCATATTTCATCTAGTTCTGTTTTCATTATCATTTCAGGCTATGGAACAACGAATAAGCTTGGAGCTCAAACTAGAGCGTCTGAAGCCTTTCACTTCAAAGTAGAATATAACAAAAAACCTCGTGCGACACAGGGATCCCATCGGTGAAATACTATAATCACAATAACTATATTTTAGGGAGAGCCTCAGGGGAGAGCCTTTCCCTCCATAAACACACAGGGATCCCAAAAAGTGTTCAGTTCTGCTCATTCGACGTCCTGTGACGTATTTCCGGTTGAAAAGACTTAAAATGAAAAGCTACTAAAACAAATCTTAAAGTTCATTTCTATCCAGTAGAAATCAAATATACGAAAAACAAACACATTCTAGGTTAGAAAAGTCTAGAAAATAATGCTTGCATTTCAAGCTCAAAAGTCTCTTTTCAAATTATTCAAATTTTATTACAACTTGTGACGTATTTCCGGTTCCAGTTTCGTCATACGTTCACTAGATTTCGAATTTCATCACAATTGTGAATTTTCTCGCTTTCTGATTGGTCTAGAGCCGGGGAAATAGGAGGACATACCGATAAATTACGTCAGCAAATCACGCACGCGCTTGGAACCCCATTTTTCTTTTTTTCTTTTTTGTAGTAAAAAACCACCTCGGCTACGCCTGGTGAGTCCAAAACATTTTGACGGTCAGATGACAAAAATCGTGGTAAATAAGACCACGAAATAATTAATACCATGGAAAGCTGGAGGAAATTTGTTGGATTCTTTCCCCTGAATTCAACTGCATCTAAATAATATTTATGCTACTAGTCAATCAAACGGAGATAAAATAATCGTATTTCAAATGCTCGAGTAAGCCCGGAAGCGGAAGTGATCTATGCAAATCACGTCAACATGTTATAGAAATTCGAACGAAAAAACACTTTCGGGTCCAAATTAATAATTACTTCTACAGACATTTTTCGGCGTTTTTTCTTCAAAGTAGGACTTTCTGTTCATATATCTAATCAATAAAGGTAGAGAATAAATCCTGGGAATAAGTTGTGGCAAGATTTTAGCGATTTTTTGTGTGATTGGAACTGGAAATACGTCACAATTTAAAAGTTCATGCAACAAGTTGGTTAGCATTTTCCACTTGGAATCATATCAAACTTTCATAATATATTATGATTAATTTCATTTTAACGTTATTGGTATCAAAAAATGTTCTTCGTTTGCGGCAAACAGGAAAAATGAGAGATGCGGTACGTTGACTCTTAAATGGCTTCCTCTCTGAACCAATCAGAAACAAACCACATTATTCAGGGAAGCCATTTAAGTTCGTATTATACGGTGACTTTTTAATGGCTTGGGCTTCCCATCTGAACCAGTCATAAAGCACAAAAAACATGCATCGTCCAATCACAGCTTTAAATTTTGGAATCCATTTAAATGTCACGATGCTATGCGTCCACGCTACACAAAACGTGCTCCAATCAAAATCAATTTCGCACTCGGACCCTAATCATTAGCCAAATCCTACGATTTTCAGTGTAATGAGTAGGATCTGAGTACGAGAATAAAATTGAACTAGTGTTTAGTCCTTTGCGCTTTGCTGCATGGAGAGTTACTGGTACCCAGCAGACTAAGAATTTTTTATATAAAGAAATTAAAGACTATTATATGGTGCTCTTTATTTTTCATCGAGTTATCGGTTAAAAATCTCCTTTTACACGCTTGTTGTGCGCGCCTTGATTTGATTTGCATCACATTTTTTATTATAATTATAAATACATAGACAAAATTATAAAATATACAGAATAGGATAATTAAAGGATGAGAAGTTTATTGCTTATGGTACTTTAAAGTTTGTTGGTTTAATTAAGTCTAACTTGTTTTTGTAGGCTGGAATCATTTCCTTTATGTACAAGAACGCTTCCTCAACCTCAACATCTTAATAGAGATCCAAGCTTTCGGACTAATTGGTCCATTTTCAGGGAATAATGAGATGGCGGTTAAACATGTTATTTATAAACAATCTATGGAAACGCAAAGATTATGTTAACAAAATACAAAGGAAACGGAGATATGCGCGCGCTACGAGCTTCTTACAACGCGCGCCCATTATATGACCTATTTATTTTTATCATAACAAAGGCTTAAAGCAGCGGCTTGAAGCTCATAGTTAATGGTTTTTGGTAGTCTTTTTACGTTAGCCTATAAGGAACATGCAGCAAGTTAGACGAGCTGCTGCAAAAACGAGTTGGTTTCATAATTAAGATTGCTAAAAACGTCTATTTTTAGACACCATTTCATTCAATTTCAAAGGCACTATAAAGRAGAAGAATAGAAACGTCCCTGACTGTTTTCCGAAATAAATTCGCAAGCCGGCTAATAAACCGTTTTCTCAAGGTTGCGTGCGCATCAAAATTTAAGGAACTTGACAGGCCACGATAACAGCACACGAGTATTATCAAGCATTGCTATGAATTTTTCTTTGATGAGAGTTGGATGCGCACGCAACCTTGAGAAAACGGTCTATTCAACTATACGTTGGTGGTCCACAGGGAACCTAGTTAGAATAAAAGTCTTAGACAATAATATGATCCGAGAAAAAGTATCAAAAAATGTAAAAAGTACTAAAAAAAGTAAGAGTATTTGAGACCAAGAAAATGTGCTAAAAGTTCAAGGGAGTTTTTTCCGGATCTTAATTTTATACTGAAAACATCTTAGATTGGACTCCCTGTGGAGAGCCCGAAAGAAGTACAGCGGCAATTTCCATAATGTATGTATGACTCGTGCCACAACCTGCCCAACCAAAACAACGAGTAATTTAGCAAATTAAGATACACTGTACGAATCTTAAAGTACATGTAATTCTTCGAAAATAACACTTATTAACGGAGAAGAAATCACACAAGAAACTTTGGAAAGAAACTGTAAAGAGTGTTGGTTTTTTTTGTTAGTATCATCACGCGTAGGATCGAGCGGACTTCAACAAAGCAATAGGGAAAGTAAGTACAGCTCAAAGATCGTGTTGATTCAAACGCTTATAGACATTCCCTGTCAGAACAAATATAACAGAATTCTCTTTACCATCTAATTATACAATACCTATGATTTAATTTCTTGGAACAATTGTTAATTTCCATTGTCTAATGATAGACAAAAATAATGATTTTTAACAAGATTTACCAGCACGTGTGGCAGGTTGCGAAGAGAATCCCTCTCATTGATAACAATCAGAATTTCTTTTCGCCATTTTAGAAAAAAGACGTTGGAAATCGCGATTTGTCGACGTTTAACACACGTAAAATCACAGGGAACCCTACTGTCGAGCCTGAGTACTGAGTAAAAAGTAACAACCCTTCTTTGTGATATAGATAGCACCTGCCTTTATTGGATGACTTAGCACAGCTGCGTAATACCCAGGTGATAAATAATTAATAGTAATTTACACCACAAAGTATATATGTATTTATGTTACATGGCGAGGAGGTTTCTAGAAATCAAAAGGCTTTTGAGGCAAAAAATATTACCACATGCTAAGAGCCTGTTATCTTTTTTATTCACTCGCTTTCCATGCCATATCGCTCGCCTAAATCGCTCGCACCGCCATGTTATCAATATACAAACTTCTGACTAAAAGATTCGTGGAAGAAGGGGACATGCTCGGAGGCTATTAAGCCGTAATTCTGTCATGCAACTGATAGAAAATTGAATTGAATCCTATTCCCATTTTGGCGATTTTGTATCCGATCCGTAATGAATGGCTAAATCCCAGTGTCCCAATACATGGAATCTCAATTTCCCACGGTCAAAAAGAAAGGCACTTTTGTCATTGAATTTCAACAGCGTTCATGAGACTAAAAAGCCATGCCAGAGACAACAACATTTGTGATATTGAAAATTAAATCTACGAAATACAACTCAAATATTTTATCTATTTGTTGAAGTACTTATGTTCCTGCTGTATGCTGTTGTTTGGCTTGGAATTCAAAGAGGAAACGCGTAATAGAGAATCAGAAGAGCCTGCAAATTCGCTTCCAGTTATTCGTTCTCGACGATGCAATTATAGAAGAACAACTAGAAGACTTCAAGCAATCATTAACCACACAAAATGCTGGCAAATATTTTCAATTCTGCGGTGCTTCTGTACATGTTGCATCTAAGTCTTTCACATAAAGTGCTGTTGAAAAAGAAGCACAACTCTAGTAATCTCCATGCCTCGTCGACGTCGACGTTTAAGATCGCCAAACCAAGCAAAACACAAGCGAGATGGTTGGATTTTGAGGTTGGAGCATCGATACACTTCAATATGCAGACTTTCAATAAATATATGAAAAGAGGTACGTAGATTAATTCGTCGGTTCGTCGGTTCGCTAGTTCGTCGGTTCGTTGGTTCGTCGTTTCGTCGGATCGTGGGTTCGTTGGTTCGTTGGTTCGTGGGTTCGTCGGTTCGTTAGTTCGTCGGTTCGTTGGTTCGTTGTTTCTTCGGTTCGTTGGTTAGTTCGTGGGTTTGTTCGT